AGGCACACCTTGTTTTACTTTAGTTAACAAGAGGAAAGGCATGTTAGTCACATGAGAGAAATGGTACACTGAGCAATAAAACAATGATAATCTTAGAATAAATGAATGAGCTTTGGCTCTAGTTTAGTAAGAAATGGGGTACATGAAAAGTCGCTCCAATGAAATTAAAGTCAACTCAGAGAATCACGCAACAATGTATTGCAAAGTGAGCAAAGTATGCGATAGCTACACAAAAATTTTGCACTGATGAACTTCCAGATTAAGATCATAAATACAATGAATGAAAAAGTAGTGGGGAAGGTTGCTGAGATCTTGTTATGAGATAAAAATATCTTAATAGACCAATTTCGGTGTATTAAAATTCAGCCTAACACTAGACCTCAGCACCAGGCTCTGGTGAATAAATCCCACAAACTCCCCAGAACCTTGTAATGAGATCTATTCATTCTGGCTGAATGTTAATAGATCAAAATTGGTCGATTAGAACCAGACTTGGCCACATATGAAGTTCTTTAATTTCTCCTCGTCTCCCCATACCTGTGTTCAAGTTCTACCGAACAATAATGCCACTAAGCCCTTGGCTAACAAAAAAAATAACCTTCCCAACACTATTGTGACGGGTTGAAGATACTAGTTAATCACCTTGAAGTTCTCTCAGTTGTTTAGAAGTTTGAGTATCAGTGCAGGATGATTACCCTTTGCCATTCTGTCACCAATTTTGTGTTGATTTTAGAACACCTCAAAAACATATGGAGCAAACACACTGCCAAATATTTTTAAGGCAAAATTTCCTGATTAATAATAATCATCTCTTCCTGTATTAATTATTTATTTAAGCCCTTGGCTGACAAAAAATAACCTTCCCAACACTTTTGTCACGGGTTGTAGATACTAGTCTACAAGTCTATTTTTATTTTAATAGAGACCTTCTACAGAGAAGGACGCAGCAAAGCAATCATCTCCGTCTGCCCTCCGTCAAATTAGAATGTACAAAAAAGCTTTTTATTATCATGGCTATGTAGTTTTTAATCGTAATTTCTAATTTTTGTTAATCCTATTTTGTGATAAATTTTTATATGCTGTTTTTAGCGGAGCTCCGGCAGCCCGAAGTACTGCCAAGCAAGGAAGGAAGTCTCTGCTTAGGTGGGAATCTGGAAGTTTTTTTTGGTGTTTGAGCTGTTTGTTTTGTGATGGATTTTCCTGTTAAGCCTGCCTGCTACGACTCTGTGCCTGCGTGTCTTTGTATGCAATGTCAATTGTATGATGTCAAGCAAATGGTTCGTGCCAAGTCCGCTACAGTGTCGTCTCGTTCACCGTTTTTACCTCGTTATGCCGTTTCGTTGTTGTCCCGTCCCACCATTGAGTCTGCACCATGTGCTGTTTCGTCCGTCTTGTCTACTCGCCCATCTTCGTCTGTTGCTGCTTCTACGTATGGTTTAGCTGATATTGACGCCCCCAAGTATGTTTGTGAGCCTGATTGTTTTCCACGCCGCCCGTACTTGTCTCATCCGCGTGTTGATTTTGCTGACCTGTCTTCGCCTTGTTTTTTGCCTGGCTCTGGTTCTGGTCCTGCCGTCAGCCCTGCTAGCTCTGCTGCTGTTCCGGTTGTCCAGTCCAGTTGTCCTGCTAACTCCGTTGCTGTTTCGCCTGTACGTTCTAGTTGTTCTGTTGCTTATGTTGCTGTTTTGCCTGCTGTTACGTCTAGTCCTGTTACCACTTCGCATGGTAGCCCTGTTAGTTCTGTTGCTGCTTCGGCTGCTGCTACGTTTGGTCCTGTTGCTGCACCTCGTCGTCTGTTCCCTGGATTTTGTACGCCTTTTTCCAAGCCGGTTATCCGTCCCGTTTTTCCTGTGGCTCGCTTTGTCTTGATTCTGCTTCCCGTGTTGCTGCCCACTCCGTTTGGCCTCGTCTTCTCGTTTTTGCCGTTTCTGCGTTGATTTTGGACTTTGCTCGTCGAGTTTGTTGTTATTTTTGGTCTTGGTTTGTTTTGGGTTGCATATTGGTGGTGAACCTATTCTTTTAGGATTATTCTGTTGACAGGTGCCCCTCTTTTGGGTTCACCTTTCGCCGTTGCCCCGGAGCAGTGTATGTTAGTCCTGTTGTCTGATGTTTTTGCCTGTTCGTCTCTCGTTTGTTTGTTTCTATGTTTCCTGTTTGTAGGGGCGGGGTTCGATCCCCTGGTGAAGTTGACGTGTTGGTTGCACCCCCGTATTTAGGCAATCCAGTGTGTGTATTGGATTAGTCGGTATGACCGGCAGGCATTGCACTACCGCCTGCCGATCACCTTAAATACAAAAAACATCAGCTAATAGGTTGACAGACATGCATCCTTGGTTTATAGCATCCTTCTTTGATCTTGGACACCATGTTAACTTGCTGTAAACAGGGCCGGGTTGTTCGGAAGCCAGTTAACACTAACCCAGGATTACAAAAGTTAACTGAAGTACATTATAATTTTTTTTTTGTATACAAATGTTTTTCACTACTTTTGCTTTGTGTATTTTGAGGACCTTAAGATTATTCAGACTCAAAACGGAAGGCCAAACAACATAAACAGAAAACCGCACAGCAAAACTCAATTTAAAATTCTCGCATATCGAAGGTAAGCTTAATTGAAAGGCCGCGTGCAAGAACGTCCCCTAGATTTTTTGGCCATTTTGAAAGTGTTCAAAAATAGCTGAATTTTGGCATGTAGGCTTTGTTGTACCTGAGAAACATTGCTCTGAATTTTTTTTGGCTGGGGCGCTCTTCGTTCTCGAGAAATAACGTATGCAAAAAGCTCAGTTTTCCAAGCGGCATCTTTTGGAGATCTTTTGTTGAACAAAAAACAAAAGGAACCCTATTATTTTATTGAACAGCAGACAGGCAGACTGTTTATAGTGTATTCCACTGAATCTTAGCTGTCTTNATGAAACCTTCAGGTAAATAATATTGTATTTATTTACTTCTAATACTTTTTCTTAAGGTTATATGTTTTTGGTATTGGAGTTTTGTAGCAGTCATTGGTGTGTTTGTTTAACAGGCCTTTTCATGGTTAGCTTTTATTACTTATTTGCTTTACTGACAATATAATTCAACATGTGTGTGGGTGAATTTTGGGTAGTTTTATAGCTTCTGGCTGAAATTGCCTTGCATCCATGTTAGATTACATTATGCAAATGAGAAAAGTTTCCCTTCAAAGCGCTATTAAATAATTTATGTCAGGCAATCAATTAGTCTTGCAGTGTGTGTGCATGTACACTACATAAATCATGTACCTACTTTACTTTGTTGATGTCTCAAAGGTATATATTTGTTTCATAAGACCCCTTGCTTTCCTTGTGATATTATTCTGTTTAGAACAATTATTAGCAATTTACTTTTAACACACATGGAGAAGATTACTCTGACTGCATCACTGTTGACTACAAAGTAGAAGCAGTTAATCCAGCATCCATGGAGCTTTGCCAACTGCTGGCTTTGCCACGCCAGACCTTGGTGTTGTTAGCCTCTGCACGACATCTTGTGACAACCGGTTCAAAGGCGCGCCTCGCCGAGCGCATTCACGCTTTTGAGCACACCATTCCACCACCTCCTGGCCCCATCGTAGATGCTGGAGCTAATAGTGCCACTCCAACGCTCTTGTCAGTTAACGTGGACGAACAACCTACACCACTGACTGCCTTTTCTGAAGTACAGATCACCCAGCTATGATTGCTCATTTCCGCGGCCATTCATGGCGAGCGGGTTGGCACCCAAGAACTCCCCATTCTGGTCAAAAGATCAGCGCTTTCTCCTGCGACTCCGCAGCCACAACGTCCTTTGACGGCTATCCAAACTGGCACGATCAATTCCTCAAGCGACGCCTCAGCTGCCCAAGATGGCATTGTCTTAACTCCAACACCCAGTCCCAGTCTCCCGTCAACCAACGTGGTGGGAACGCCTGGTACTTCTCTGCCTGCCCATAATATACCACCTATCCCACAAAAAATACTACAACGCATCGCGAAACATGAGTACATTGACTTTCTGTCTGACAATTTATACCCTCACCCATCTCTGGCCGCACAGAATCAATACAAATTAGAGGTCAACCCTCAAGATCCCTCAGCCTTGGCCATAGTCCCCTCACATCACCGCAAATGGCAGGTGGACGGACTTCATTCCTGGTTGGAGGCCTGGAATATCTACCTTCAAACAGTCCTTCACCACTTCCCTCTCTTCACCCCTGACCTCCTTACATACCAGGACCAGATATGTAAGTTCAGCAGGAAATTTAGAGCATCCGCATGGATTATGTATGACACTGCCTTCCGCTACCTTGGCTGCTTCCAACCCATCGTTGTCTTGGGGAAAAATAAATGATCAACTCTACAATAACATCTTAAAAGAGGAAACACTCCCTTTCTGCATCTCCTGTCACTTCTACGGCCACCGCACCATCAATTGCCCCACTCATTTCCAGGCCAACCAGTCCTTTTGTCGCTCCCCAGCCAATGCTCCACCATTTACCACTAGTTGAACCTCCTCCCAACCCAGCATCCCATCACCATCCCGCCGGCCAATCTCTCAGCCCCTTCACCAAACCTCACCTGCTGTGATTTCAACCGTTGTTTCTGCCACCGCATCAACTGCCAATTTCTGCACGTCTGCAGCAACCAAGGTGGCAGTGGAACCCATCCAAGTACCCAGTGCCCGAAAGGAGTCTAACAACGTGCCATCCAGTCTTCCCCACCTTTCTCCATCAACCCCTGTTTGCATCCCCAACCTGGCTCAAGAGTTTATGAATCACCCTGACCGTCAATTTGCTTCAGATCTGGTCCATGATCTCCAGTTTGGCTGTCGCCTTGGCTATCAGGGTCCATGCTACCACAGAATCACCCCGAATTTAAAATCTACTCCCCTTCACCCCAATGCAGTCACTGAGGTGCTCATGAAAGAGGTTAGTAGAGGCTACACAGCAGGCCCCTTCTCATCTTCTCCCCTTCCTGCCCTTCAGTGCTCACCTTTAGGCCTTGTTCCCAAAAAGGATGGCTCCTGGCATATTATCATGGATCTCTCTTCGCCTCGAGGTTCATCCATCAACGATTTTATCTCTAAAGCTGATTACACCTTACACTATGCTACCTTTGATCAAGCCCAAGCCTTAGTATCCTCATTTGGCACTGGTGCTCTCATGGCTAAGCTCGACCTTAAGCATGCCTTTCGTCTCTGTCCTGTATCCTCCAGTGACTGGGACCTCCTTGGCATGCACTGGCAAGGCAAATTCTATGTGGATCTTTGCCCACCGTTTGGGCTCCATTCCTCACCATTCCTATTTAACCGTTTAGCTGATTCCTTTGAGTGGATACTTGAGCACAATTATGCTATCTCCGCCCTCATGCACTACCTCGATGATTACTTTACCGTAGGTCCTCCATCCTCTCGGAGCTCATTACTGAACTTCATACCCGGTCTTCTCGGAAAAAGTGCATTAGAAGAGAACTTCTCTCCCTCATTGGTAAACTGAACTTCGCCTGTCGAATCATCCCAGCTGGTCGCATATTCCTGCGGCGCTTTATTGACCTGAGTACCATTGCTTGCCTACCCCACCATCATATATCCCTCAACACTGAAGCTCGCATGGATGTCGCTTGGTGGCTGAAGTATCCTCCTCTCTGGAACGGCCCCGCTATTATCAGATGTTCTGGTTCTGTCAACTTGCCCTGCAAGCAGATTTGAAACCCACGACTCTGCCTGCCTCAGCGCCGACCCTCTGGCAGGTCGTCTAGCCTTTCTGCAGTCCCAAGCCATTGCACCTTCCACACGTCGCACCTACTATGCTGGAATTCGCAGGTATACTACCATTTGTTGTTCAAGGCAATGGAACGCCTTCCCTGCATCAGAGTTAGAACTACGTTATTTTGCCTCTTGGCTCTCTGATTAAGTCAGCTTCCCAACCATTAAGCTGTATCTAGCTGGTATCCGGTTTGCCCACATTGAAAACAACCTTACAGACCTGTTTACAGATGCCCCCCCTTCTTCGTTTACTTCTACGAGGCATCAAGTGGACAATTGGACTCTCCTCTTGCCGCCGTCTACCTATTACCATGTCAGTCATGCGCCAGCTAAAAGGAGCTTAGGCAGATGACCCTCAGATTGCATCGCAGGACAAACTCATGCTCTGGTCAGCCTTTACTCTGGCCTTCTTTGCCTTCTTACGTTCAAGCAAGTTCACCTCACCATCTTCAGTTCGCTTCAACCCGCTGGTACACCTGTCCCACTCAGACATCAGTTTTACCTCCGCAGGCTCCTTATCATTGCAACTGAAATCATCCAAAACTGATCCCTTCCTGACAGGCTGTTCCATTATGCTGGCTCCTTCTGGCCGTTCAGTCTGTGCAGTACGGGCAATGCACCGTTATGTAGCTCACCAGCTTTCAGGTAATTCCACCCCCTTTATTTTTTCTCAACAGGGCAATTTCTCACCAGGGACAAAGTAACCTCAGTTCTGTGCCTCCAGCTTCAAAGCTTGGGTTTTGCCACAGAGTCCTATGCATCCCACAGTTTCCGCATTGGGGCTGCAACTACTGCTGCAGAGGCCGGCTTGCCCCCTTGGCTTATCCAAACCCTTGGCCATTGGTCCAGCAATTGCTACACCCAATACATCAGGACACCTGCTTCAATACTCCGAGCAGTCCCTGCCCAGCTAGCCGCCACTAGTACTCCACTATAAGCTTGGGATCCTAGCACAGTACAATGTAGACCTTGTTAAAGTTGTACTAACATTTGTCGCTACATACCTGGCAGTATTTGGGGCATAATTTGGGTGCACACCTTCCACTTAGCTATTGCCTGCGTCAGGCTGGGTGGGTCCCTTACCCCGCCTTATTCTTAGCTACCTAAGCAGCTAGGCTGGGGGGCTTCGTTCTCTGGGTGAGTGTGCTATCACCCCAATTCATTCACTGGGTGTGTCTGCCAACCACCCAAGTTTCTGCTTTGGGGTTTGCATCCCCTAACCACCCAACGTTGTGTTTATGCTTTGGGGTTTGAGTCCACTAACCGCCCCACTTTGTTTGCAGGGTGTGTCCGCTAACCACCCAATTACCTGTCCAGGGTGTGTCGCTTCCACCCACTCTCGTTGCTATCCCAGGGAGCACCCAGTGTCCATGGTCCCATTTACTGCCAGATTTGTCTTGTCTTTTTTTTGTTCATACAATATTATGAGAGAGTGAGTTGTTGTTAACTCTAGCTTTCGTTTTAGCATGAAGAATTAATTCAAACATGCGGTCATGCAGCAAAGCACGTCTGCAAAATTTTTTAGATAAGTTTTTTTGCCTCATCTTGAATTAAATTTTATTCTTATTGAACTTCTTGTCACATTTCTTTTGTTTGGTTGCCTTTATTTGGGAATTTTCGGTTTAAAAAGTGAACAGTATTTTTGCATGCTGGATTTTTGCATATTTTAATTTACAGCGACCCCGGGGTTTGTTTGTTTAATTTATTCGCTTCGCTCAAATATATATATATTTTGAGTCTTATTCAGCTACTACAGAACTCCTGAGAAAAGAACTAAGTGGGCACTAAATTAACACAGTTGAAATACGATTTATCTCAAAGTAATTGGCTTGTTTTTGTCGTCTTTTTGATGTACAACTCTCATCTTTCTTTTGCTGCATTATATTATTTTGTCGT